AGTGGGCAGAGCGCTTGCAATGTAGGTGTTGATTGGTTGCATAGGTTTGTATATGTGGAACACTGCAGGTTTCGTTTAATATTCCCGAGGTCTTGTAATTTACATCCATCGATTTACAAGGCACAGTGTTTCAAGAGGCACCAGCATCGCTTTGAATTACAAAATGATTGAAATCATTGGTGACAACCAGCACACTGGATTTATTTTTCTTAAGTTTAGTGGAATGAAACATTTCTTCTCTTCGTTTTTCTCTCTGTTTTGGCAGCACCCGGAGCAGGCTAGGGAAAATCCTGTTGTCTAGCAGGCAGGGGCGGCTCTGTGTTTTTTGCTGCCCCAAGCACGGCAGTCAGGCAGCCTTCGGCGGCATGCCTGCGGGCGGTCCGCGGTCACACGGATTCGGCGGCGTTTCTGCGGGTGATCTGACGGTCCCGCACCTTCGGCGTACCCGCCGCCGAATTGCCGTGGAAACCGCAAGACCGGCAGACCTCCCGCAGGCCCACCGCCAAAGGCTGCCTGACTGCCACCCTCACAGTGACCGGCAGGCCGCCCCCCACAGCTTGCCGCCCTAGGCACGCACTTGCTGCACTGGTGCCTGGAGCCGCCCCTGCCAGCAGGACAACCCAACCCAGTTCAGACAAATGAAATTCAGTTACTTACTGCTTAGCAGTCACGTTGCTGGACAGGATTTAAAAATCCTGGGTTATTTAGTTGACCAGCAGGTCTGACTTTTGGCTGAATGAGAAAACTGACCACCTGGCCAAGATTCCTTGTAGGTGCCACCAAGCAGCAGAAGAAATGGATGCCTGCCCAGCCTGCTACTTTGCTGAATTATTATTCATCTCCTATTGCTCATGCATCTCCTATTGCATTTCAGGAAGAGCACTCCTATCCACTGTCCCCAAAAGGCAGCATGGGGTTCACCTGCCATTGGGTGACATTTTCCACAGGCTGCCAAGCTCATCAGCCTGCACTTTGTACACTGCACTGGCTCCTTCTCCTATACCAGATCTTATTTAAAGACTCTGATCTGGACCTTTAAGGCCCTCAGTGCCCTGAGTATCTCTTACCCCACCCGCTCTCCCTGACCACATTGGCTGAGAACGGATGGGATGATGGAATTACTGGTGCCTAGAGCAAGACCTGGGGGAACAGGGGATCTGCTCAGTGCCTGGCTCTCCGCTGCTGAACTAACTATTCCACCAGACACAAGACGAGGAAGAGGAAGGAAGCTACTTGTGTTGACAAGTTGGTTGCACACCATTCTGGAGAAAAATGCAAAACAGTGTATCTTAAGACCCTGTTGTAATGGAAGGAAGCCAAGCTGGAATAGATCCTGCTATAGAGACCTTGATTCTGGAAGGGAAGGGATGTGTTTTTGTGGTTAAGGCACTAGGCTGGGGCTTAGGAAATCTTCACTCAGTGTCTTTCTCTATCATCAGCTTATTGTGCGACCTTGGGCACGTCATTTAATCTCTCTATGATCCAGAGTCCGGATATTTTTGTCATTAAAATCTCATAATTTTACATCGTTTTTTTGCAGATTTAATCTAATTTGATTGTTCGTCTTGATTTAATGTCTTCCTCCCCTTGTGGAAAGGAAAAAAGAGACGTCTTCAGGAAGGACCGTCCAGCGTTAGAAATCCAAACCCGCCTCTCACTGCAGTGCAGTACTCGACTTAAATGGGAGGAATCGATCTACAGCCTCTGAGAGCAGCAACTACCATCTTGGGTTCTCCCCCCACCCCCACCCCCATCCTGGTGTAATGAGCCGCCCAAATTGACTTTTCCACATTTGATTTAAATAAAGAGCAGATTGTCCCATTTCCATCTCCCCACCTCCACCACCAAATGTAATTCTAGCTTTACTTAAATCGCTGCAAATGAATTGAAGAGCTGTGCACAAAAAAAAAACCCCCACTGCAAGGGAAATTAGCTGAGTCTTGTATTTCAGATGACAGGGCCATCCATCTCCCTGCCCTCTAACGAGGCACTAGCGGAGCGAGCGGCAACAGGCCATTCGGGTTCCTTAGGTAGCTTGCGCCCCACCATCACCTTCAGCTGATTAAAGGAAAATGATTCTTCCACTTATAATACCCCGGGCGCAGCTCCCCGAGTTGGGGAGCAGCTGAGTCCAAGAGCCTTTTCCATGGGATTTAAGGAATATTTTATTATAAATTGAATGAAAAATGTTTTTTTTTACCCCTTTGAAGAGAGTTGTATGTGGTGACAGGAGGGAGAGAGACTTCCTGACTAAAACGGTGACAAAATAAATAACCTCAGACCTGATCCTGCAAGATCCAGGGAGCGCCCCTCCCGCATTGAAATGAATGACAATTGAGAGTACTCAGCAGGTTACGGGGTCGGGGCTAAATGGAAAAGCATTAACTTGTCTTTCCAAATGCCTTCCTGGAATCACCTATTAACATGCTTATGCTGAGATAGGGACTTAGCAGCCCAACTGATTACCGTTTTCCTTGGATGGAAAACCTCAAAGAGTATATCGAGCTGCATATATAAATCCGCTGTATATTGCTTGGAAAGATTGGTGGGTGGGTGTGTTATGCACACACTTCCCCGCCTTGTCTGCAATCATCCTGAGCAGATTCCATCAGGGTTACTTCCTTGTATTTTTTCCTTTGACATTTAGGAGCTAGTTAATTATTTTCACTTGGCTTTGCTTCCTGGGCTCTGACTTTCTTTACTCACTACTGTCTCCGTGTTAAAAAGACTTCATAAATTTCATTGCGCCTAGAGGAGAGTTCATAAACCAATCTTCCCAGAGAACCCCCATTTTTATGCTGTTTCACTCTGTGCACGTTTTTCTTTTGCTGTCGCTTACACTAAAATTAGATGCACCCTTCGGTTGTTTGCTTTGTGCAATCCTTTTCTTTATGTTGTTGCTAATTTCTTTTTAATTTTGCTGCTGTCTTCTGTGTTTATCTTGATCTGTTTTGCTCACAAATGATCATTAGACTTTTTAGGGATTTTTCATTTATTTGCTTTCTTTACAGAATAAATTTTCAGGGGCTCTTTTAATCTTATGAAGAAGCTTAAGAACTAGAGTAGATTCATTTTGTGAAGTTGTGTGTGTGTGTGTGTGTGTGTGTGTGTGTGTGTGTGTGTGTGTGTGT